GAGAGAGAGAGAGAGAGAGAGAGAGAGGGAGAGAGAGAGAAAGCCCAAGGAGGAGTACAGGGAGATAACTGCCTGCCTGCCTGCCTGCTTGCCTGCCTGTTTGCTTGCCTACCTGCCTGCCTGCTTGCCTGCCTGCCTGCTTGCCTGCCTGCCTGCCTGCCCGCAGCAAGCACGCGGGCTGTGGCGCTCAGGAATGTTGTAGCTCCATTTGTTAAACGTTTTATGTCGTGTCAGGGTGATGAGAGATGCACACGATAGCACAGCGCGGCACCGGCAAACCTAACCTGTCAGTGTACGCACGCACGCAGCATGCACGCACCCACGCACGCCACGTACACACGCACGCACGCACACACGCACGCACGCACGCCATGTACGCACACACGCACGCACGCACGCCATGTACGCACGCACGTACACACGCACGCACGCATGCAATGCACGCACGCACGCCACGCACGCATGCTACACACGCACGCTACTCACACACAAACGCACGCACGTACGCGCACAATATACACACCCGCGCGCGCACCCATCCTACATATGTATGTACAGCATATACAATATATATATATATATATGAAGTGCTACTGTAACGTCTGTACTGTGCTAGTGTTATTGTCTAGCTAGACTATATGGCTAAAACAACTACCAGTCTATCTCCACTCGACTAATCCATGTAACGCGTATAAAATAGACGTTACACTACTATATCTTCAACTATATCTATTGGGAGTTACTCTTAGGTAATAACTCGTACAGTATTCTGCCATGTGCCTCATTTGCATGCCTAGCTGGGGTATTATTGCAGGGATATCTAATATGAGACAGAGACAGACATTTGTGGCCGAATTTTCTACGAACACAATTCAGAGGCGGTGTAGTGCGAAATTCCTGACTTGCGAACATGATATATATATATATGAATAGGATGCGTATGCCAGAGTTTGATTGTTTAATTCGCATTGTTCGCTTGATTGTTTGCTTGGACGGATTGTATTTTTTTCTCAGCTCGCATAGCAGGCAGCTCGTAGTCCTGTCATAAAGTGCCAAATAAGGCGTCTACTAGGAAATCGAGTGAAACGG